TCTATAAATGCTGTTTAACACCGCAGCTCGCGGTTCGAAAGTTATCACAGGAATGCTGAGTTATGGGCAAAGTCCTGATTCCGAGCGGGACTCGACCCTGCAGCTTCGTCGACCCGCTACAATGTTGAACATATGAACACTGTAAGGCTACGGCATAAACTGTTCAGCTGGGAGGATAAGGGTATCACTGGTTCCGTTATTAATAGCGTCCTTCCTGCCCGGAAAGTGCGAGGTGTTTGAGTTTCGACTGGGGTGAGGACTTTTGCTCCATAACCCATCACCATTCTTATGATCTATCTTGGCAGCGATGTTGAAAAGATTTAGGGAAGGCGTAACATGGGCTCAAATCAATAGATTATGCAGGGTAGGGTACAACATCAATTTCCATTCTCTAAGAAGCAGCCCCCGTTTTCTCCAATTTGTATAGCCCTACCTTGTTGAAAAAGGAGACACATTTTCGTGTGCCTAAAGCGCATCGATGAATAAGTACTGATGGTATGCCTCAGTCGCTGTCAATCTCTACCCGAGCGATTAGATGGCAGGGTATGAAGGCCACCTATCACTGGTCGTCGAGGTCTTATTAGTGCCTACCTCAGGACACCCAAAGAAACAGAACTAGGAAAGTTTCTATATCTGTTGGATGAATCTTGTGTAGAGCTAGCGAGTCATCAGTTTAGGGCAGGCGCTCGTCTCGGACTGTTATTGATCACTTCAGATTTATTGCCTGCAAAAAGTCAATGCATAGCGTGCGCCCTCCATCCTGATGGCAGTCATGTATAAAAAATTGTATGTCATAGCATCTGACCGTAGTGCGATCTGAAGCAGTGCTCCGTAAGGCTGCGTCTCTGGGGCTAGGAAATTATAGGTATCGATGCAGCGTCTGTCAGCATCTACCAGCGACCAGCAGCTTCCGAAAGTGAGAATATGGGGCGATAGGAGGGTAGCAGACAGCTGGTAGAGTATGGCGCGATAGGAGGGTAGCAGACAGCTGGTAGAGTATGGGAGATAGGAGGGTAGCAGACAGCTGGTACCCTTCTATCGCCCCATCTCTCTAACAGTTGTCTACGGATGGTCGCTGGACGCTGGCAGACGGTAGATGATATCTGTACTTTCCTAGTAGCTGACGTAGCCGGACGCTAGGACGTTATTGGTCGCTGCACGCTACCGCAAAGCAGCCTAAGGCGTCGAAAATAACGATTTTGAAAAAAAAGTTGAACACCGTGAGTGCTTCTTGGTATTTATTCAAACAAACACTGTTTGGAATAGTGTTGATGGGCAAAATTACTGTGCGCTCGATTCCCCAGAGAAGCTATATCTTTTTAATGTAATGAAAACGCATGAGCCGTTTGACATCATCAACAAGGCGAGTGGAATATGCCGAGTCATGGTTTTAGCGTTGTTGCCATTCAGTATTTTTTTCGCACTATATATTTCAGTGAGCGATACCGTGAACCCACCACATTGACAGAGGATCAGATCGATGAGCGAGCAGTTTCAATGAAGGTTCGTTAGCAGATTAAATGTTACTGCTGTAATATCCTTTTTTCTACTTTGTAGTTCCTTAAAATTGCTGAAAAATCATGATCATTGGAAATTCCTTTTCACCTGACCTTGTTGTGACGCTTTTTTATTCACTTATAATGAGGATCGAGACGCAGGTGGTGTAGTGA